CTTCTGCATAAATAAAGGTATATGAGATACATAAAAGGCTATGCGAAAAGATGTTGTGCTCATTACTCAACCTCCAGCATTAAATTTCTGTTCTTGTGAATTCACAATACTGAATAAAATCAGGACCAAAGTGGTGAATAACGTAAATATGTGACATGTACTGGATGTACAGTTATTCCCCTAATAGTCTTGGAAAAAATAAAGTTTTCATAGAACATTGTTTATCATTATTACTTGTTTTTATTTAGTTTAATCTCTTTATGCTATTTTAACTTGAATTTTGTTCTTCAAAAGTGTCGTATAAATAGGGTTGCCAACTCCCTGAAAAATAAATAAGGGACACCTCGTGGCCAGGGCCGGGCAACCCAGTTCACCCTTCCCAGTGTGGTGAATTTTGTAGCTCTTTTTTTTGTGTGTGAAATTATTTTTTAACCATTTGACTTGAATTTGATTTAAGCAGATGCATATTCTTTGTGATATGACCATATGGGAAACAAATGATCATTTAGCCATTTATTTTTAGCACAAAATGACAACATTAACACAGTAAAACAGGTCTCTTTCTTAAACAGAAGCCTGTCATGCTTAACTTTTGAGAATATAAGTAAATCTTTCTTTAAAAGAACTCTGTCCAGCTTAACTTAAAATTATATAAATTAATAGAAAGCAATAGAACGAAAAATATTCTTGTAACAGTGCACATTTAGTGCATTTAGTACAATTGGCTTCAGTTGAGGTATTATTTCAGCTTTTCTAACGCTAATCAGCCGCTCCTGTTTGTAAACCCGCTTGTTCCCATGATTACGCATCATAACTCATCATCATTATTAATCTATGTATTACTTTTATGTATTAGTCATCTATTTGTTGTAATCATCTATCCTTGCAGTTGTTTATTACACAAAATAAATTATATTATCACACTTCTGGCCACATAGCGCTGATATTCACTGCACATGCCCATATTAACCTTAACCAGAGGGTTTAAAAAAACAAACCAGTGTTTACATACCATATCTGCTTCTGCCGTGGCCTGGTGGACAAAAAATTGGTTAAGGGTTCCCCGAGCTTTCACGCCCCTCGTGTTCTTCATGCGCCCACCACTAGAAGCATGCCTATGGAAAAAGTGCGCCGGCACACAGTGCAGTGCGCTTTAAATGTGTTATCATGCATTTTCCCAGCCAGGTGTTTTCCTTTTCCCATTCCTCCTTATACTTTTGCAGCCTTTTTTTTCTTCCTTTCTCTGAAGGGAACAAACATTGCTGCTCTAATGCTGGGCTCACACTGAGACGATTTTTGAGTCGTGCGACCGATTTGGTGATCCGACCGATTTTGGCCCTCATCGTGCATCGTGTAGTATACGTGGGGTAACGAGAAGCGATTAACACCTCACGACCAGCTCCCGATCATCAATCGCTCGTGGGGGTGTCACCACAGCCGCTCACACTGCTCAGCGCAAACACTAAACGCCGTGAAAAAGATGGAGCAGCACAGCTGTGCAGCGTGTGATCTGGACACAAGCGATGGAGGCACAACTTGTAGAACTTTGGAAAGCTCATCCGAGCCTTTTCGATGTGGCATCACAAAATTATCACGACCACAACAACCTGAAAATAGTTGGATTTACATTGCTGCTCAATCACAGCTGCCTGATCAATGTTTTTCATTAGCAATTTAGCAAAGTTGATGGTGGTGGTGTGTCTGTGTGAGTGAAAGACAGAGAGAGAGCGCGACAGATTTTCTGTTATAACCTTCATTTTATGGAGGCACAGTGTGAGCACTCAGGTCGCATCAGAGCATCGGGCGGTATAGTGTGAGACCTGCATCGTGACCTACCAACGTCTAACCCCTGCGAGTCAATCGTGCAGTTTGAGCAGGAGCTGAATAACGTGACTGAAAAAATCGCACAGTGTCTGCCCAGCTTTAGGTGTACTGTCATCCGAGACTTGCACCGCAGTGTCGGCGTTTGTTTCCCTGTTGGCCATGCTTCTTGTTGTGGTCATCTGTTGTCTTCCGGTATTTTCTCCGCAAGCGACCTTTCCTCGACCAATGAGATGAGCGGTAATCTGAATTGTCATACTCGAATTGTCATAAGTGTGCTGTCAGCTCATTGGTCACAAAGCAAGAGAGGGGCTGGGAATTATGTTTTCAAACAAAGTGTTAATTCCATAAACATTTATAGACTACTTTTGATTCTCACTGTATTACGGGACAAAGTGCGTCCCTTATTAGCTCAACACGGGACGTGTACTTTTGTTTCGAAATACAGGACGATTCCGTTTTTTAAGGGACTGTTGGCAACTAGGGTTGCCAACTCCCTGAAAAATAAATAAGGGACACCTCGTGGCCAGGGCCGGGCGACCCAGTTGTCTTCACCCTTCCCAGTGTGGTGAAATTTCTAGCTCTTTTTTTGTGTGTGAAATTATTTTTTTTAACCCTTTGACTTGAATTTGATTTAAGTAGATGTGTATTCTTTGTGATATGAACACATGTGAAACAAATGATCATTTAGCCATTTATTTTTAGCACAAAATGACAACATTAACACAGTAAAACAGGTCTCTTTCTTAAACAGAAGCCTGTCATGCTTAACTTTTGAGAATATAAGTAAATCTTTCTTTAAAAGAACTCTGTCCTGCTTAACTTAAAATAATAGAAAACAATAGAAAGAAAAATATTCTTGTAACAGTGCACATTTAGTGCATTTAGTACAATTGGCTTCAGTTGAGGTATTATTTCAGCTTTTCTAATGCTAATCAGCCGCTCCTGTTTGTAAACCCGCTTGTTCCCATGATTACGCATCATAACTCATCATCATTATTAATCTATGTATTACTTTTATGTATTAGTGATCTATTTGTTGTAATCATCTATCCTTGCAGTTGTTTATTACACAAAATAAATTATATTATCACACTTCTGGCCACATAGCGCTGATATTCACTGCACATGCCCATATTAACTTTTTCCAGCCAGGTGTTTTCCTTTTCCCATTCTTCCCTTTCTCTGAGCGAACAAACATTGCTGCTCTAATGCTGGGCTCACACTGTGCGGTTTTAGGCCCATTTTGAGCCGATTTTTGAGTGATCGGACCGATTTTGGCCTTCATCGTGCGTCGTGTAGTATACGTGGGGTAACGAGAAGTGATTAACACCTCACGACCAGCTCCCGATCATCAATCGCTCGTGAGCCGCTCACACTGCTCGCGCGCAAACACGTAAACGCCGTGAAAAAGACGGAGCAGCACGGCTGTGCAGCCTGTGATCTGGACACAAGCGATGGAGGCACAACTTGTAGAACTTTGAAAAGCTCATCCGAGCCTTTTCGATGTGGCCTCACAAAATTATCACGACCACAACAACCGTGAAAATAGTTGGATCTACATCGCTGCTTAATCACAGCTACCTGATCAATGTTTTTCATTAGCAATTTAGCAAAGTTGGTGGTGGTGGTGTGTCTGTGTGAGTGTAAGACAGAGAGAGAGCGCGACAGATTTTCTGTTATAACCTTAATTTTATGGAGGCACAGTGTGAGCACTCAGGTCGCATCAGAGCATCGGGCGGTATAGTGTGAGACCCTGCATCGTGACATACGAACTTCTAACCCCTGCGAGTCAATCGTGCAGTTTGAGCAGGAGCTGAATAACGCGACTGAAAAAATCGCACAGTGTCTGCCCAGCTTTAGGTGTACTGTCGTCCGAGACTTGCACCGCAGTGTCGGCGTTTGTTCCCCTGTTGGCCATGCTTCTTGTTGTGGTCATCTGTTGTCTTCCGGTATTTTCTCTGCAAGCGACCTTTCCTCGACCAATGAGATGAGCGGTAATCTGAATTGTCATACTCGAATTGTCATAAGTGTGCTGTCAGCTCATTGGTCACAAAGCAAGAGAGGGGCTGGGAATTATGTTTTCAAACAAAGTGTTAATTCCATAAACATTTATAGACTACTTTTGATTCTCACTGTATTACGGGACAAAGTGCGTCCCTTATTAGCTCAACACGGGACGTGTACTTTTGTTTCTAAATACAGGACGATTCCGTTTTTTAAGGGACGGTTGGCAACCCTACCGTAGTGTGTAGGGACGGCACCTTGCTCAGGGGTACCTCAGGGTAGCCGTTCAGTGGATTCAAACCCGCGACCACTCTACCTACTGAGATCTCAAGAGAGCTGTGCATAAACAGTTGCCTGCAAACCTCAATGAACTGAAGCAATGCTTTAAAGATTGAGCCAAAATGCCTCCACAGTGGAAAATGGAGGCATCCACAAGGAAATGAAGCTATGATAGAGTGATATTAACACAATGTACGCACTTAAAAACACAAACTCTGGCTATGGATGAGGCCTCATAATGGTTTACAAAATATATTTTTTACACATTTTGCCCCTTCATTTTGTACTCACATTTAAACATCTACATGGCCTATGAGAACTTAGTTACTGCACAATGATTCTCTGCATTTATTTGCCTGTAAAATATTACACTATGGGAATGCAATATTGCTGATCATCTGTTTGTAAAGGAAACATTAAAAACAAACCTCAATCAGGGTTGTCAAGCTCATACAGCTGCTTTTATCTTAAGGGGAGCCAGACCATTGAAACTACATGATGAAAGCATAAAATTACAGTCTTTATTATATTTAATATAAACAGTTTTTGTTAATTTACTGTAGACTCACAAATAGTGGAAGAAAAAACAAGAACTTTCCCAGTATTTGATTGTTTACCTGTTAGTTAATTACTGCACTGGGCAGTCTTAATCAATAACGCACTAAAGCTATAAAAGTTAAAAATCTATGCACTACTTTCCAGAAGTGTCCAGTTGACCAGGTTTGGAGTCTTCGCCTGGCTGATTCTGACCCCTGGCCTTATATTTGACACTGGTGCCCTAAATGACAACATTCTTACAGCATAGTAAAGTTGTACGAATGCAGTATATATCACAAAAAGAAAAAGTCTTTGCAACCAGCACAGAGCAGGCAGGGAAATAAATAGACAAACTGTAGAGTACTCAAACTATAATACAGAGTTTATTGGGACTTGAAGGACACAGTGGGTTTGGCTTTCACATGCACTCAGCACTTTGCTGTATATCACATTTAAGAAGGAAAATTCCCTCATTGATTCACTCTTCTCCATCCTTTTGCTCCTCCTTCCCTTCACTTCCAACAAACCATGTGAGTTTGTGTGTATTGGTGTTGACACGTTCCCCCAGCGAAGCAAACAGAGCATGACAGTCAGAGAATAAACAAAGTGCTGATATTTGTGTGGGCATTGTCTGAGAGCTCATGCTAACAAGGAGGCACTTCAGTCTGATTCAGATTTTTTTTTCATATCAAGTACGCAGAGGGAAAAAAAAAGGCTTGTGTGAGATTGGTAAGGACGATTAAAAAGTATTGCATGGACCAGCTTTCACTACTTCAAACAGGGAAAATACTACATTCTTAAATTAACAAGAGCCTGAACTCTTCCTCCCTTTTAACTGGCGGTGCTGCTGCGAGAAGGCCACTTCTATGCGCGGAGATCCTCTGGTGTCTCCCTCTCCTCCTCCTGGCTCTAGCATGACTGAACTGGACTCATTAAGGGAAAAAAAAATCAAAAGGCAAACCTTTCACATAGCTGTGTGTCCAACTGTAATCGAAGACACAGGGTATCAAGAGGAAGACCCTTTAGATTTGTGAGGCATTTTTGAAGAGCGAGTTGAGGGTAGGTGTAAGAGGGCTAAAACATAACATAACCTGAACAGCAAATGTCTATGCAGCAGTATCTTTTTACATGGACAAACAAAAAGGCATAGGGAGAACAAGAACACTTTAGTTTTGGATGTAGAAAAACAAACGTCATGTGACAATATCACGACAATAATGTGCCTTAATGATCAGAGGTAAAACATTTTCATTTGGTAACAAAACAGCATGACATTATTTGAAATTGTGCAACTTGGTCAGGCTGAGTGCATGTGTTCCTCTCCACTCTGTGGGGACTGTGCAGAAAATCTGAGCAAAACCGAACAAAACAAAAACAACAAAAAGAAAAAAAAAAGAAAAAGAAAAGAAGTAGAGTTCTGTTTCTGTACAGCATGTTAATTAGTTTGTCAAACTCCACATAATCTCAAATATAAAGTGACACTGTAAACTGAGGGAGGGGGGGACGTCTGCGTGTATATGATGGTAACATCAGTGGAATGAGGTATGCAAAAGCGAAAGGGATACAGCTGTCCATACTTACACTTGTCCATGCAATGAAAACACAACACGAGTCTCACAATTCTGAGGGTGCGCATCGATCTGATTGTGTATGTACTGTATGCATGTATGTGTGCTTTAAGCGGTATGATATGTCTGCAGGCTCATATTTAGAGAAAGAAAAGTGTCGAAAAGGGATCACGCATTGTGATCCTCCTGTTGTTCCAAACAACGGCTAAAAAAAGCCTAAACAAAAAACCTTCAATAAAACCCCAAAATTCAACAATGACAACAGTATCACAAAACTAAACCGTAATCTTTGGCCTGAGTGTACGGCAAGGCAATGTACATTTATGTGTTGAGGTTGTTGAGGTGATGTGTTCTGAATGTTTAGGAGTGATCTGAGGTATGGCAGGTGAAAAAACATGTTAAAGTTGTGCAGATGGCGACACCTGGGGAGGCGGGGGCGGGTGCTGTCGATAGATGGAGAGATATCGGTACGAGATACAGGCCAGAAAGAAAGTACACGACTGAAAGTGACTGGAAAAAAAGATCATCTTTTCTTCTCTTTTTTGTCTCGAAAAACAAATAAACAAATAAACCAAAATAAAAATAAAAATAAAAATTCACCAAGACCCCATCTTCGATTCCCTGTGGTGGTCTTTATTATACAGTGGATCCCCTGAATATTAGCTTGTTTTCTATCCTTTTTTTTTTGTTTAATTTCATCACTATCAGTGGCTCTGTTCTACAGTCCAACAATCCTGAGGGTAGGTAAGGTTTGTCTAAACATTTCCAAAAGTCTCTGCAACACTGACCATCCTACTTCAAATGCCCAGGACATTAGGGCATGGTCATCCCCCCTCCCCTCCCCATCCCACCCCTCCCTCCCACCCAATGGACTGGCCATCAAGGCTTTTTAGACCGGCTGTTGCTCAGGCCCCAGCAGTGGACCAGTCAGCAGGAGGGAAGCCCTCGGTAGCTCCTTCCCTTTGCACGGTATATGTGTGTGTGTGTATGTGTTCTGTGTTTGTGTATGTGGGGCGCCCACACAGACACGATGCCACTAGGGGGCAGAGTTGGACATGGAGTCCACAGAGTTTACGCTGGAAGACTGCACACGGCTGTTGGAAATGGACACCTCTGGGTGCTGCGGCAGAAAAAGAGAGATAGATTTGCGTGGGTTAATCAAAATTGGCTTTGCCTGCTTTCCAAATGCGCCTGTCCGTTCACTTACATGCCTCCTGAAGATCCTGTCCAGCAGGCTGCGTCGAGGTGGCTCTGGCGGCTGGTTCCAGTCCAAATCTGGAGATCTCATTCCATGTGGCCCAAACACATTCAAATCTCTGAAACACTCGGTTTCTATCATCTGGATAAGATGAGAATAAGAAGCAGAAAGAGGAAAATGTGTGAGCTTTCCCAGCAAGTTGCGAGAAGCGCACTGAGCGTTTAAAATGCCGTATGACATGAACGCGCTTACCTCATTCTGCCACGGGATGGAAACGCTGCCTGTAGAGAATTTGGAGTAGAAGTCATTGTCTGTTTGGTCCAAATTGACTCCCTTGACTGTGGAGAACTGCTCTATGTCCAAAACATCCTTACAGTACACTGCCCGAGGCTGAGAGAGGGCAATGACCATGAAAAAGATTGGGTTGAAGGGAAAAACAGAAAACAAGTTTATCTTAATAGATAATTTATCATCATGGAATTTTGGTTGCCGTTTCTGATTTTTTATTTTATTTTTTATGCTGGCTATTTTTGAATATTTCCACTGATATAACAAACTTAAAAAAAATGTCCTTACTGACGCAGGGAGTGTCAGTAAGGATACTTGGTTTTAGCAGTGAGTTTGATTTAAACCTCCAGTGCAGAATAATATCAACAACTCACATCAGGCACAAAGGGAGGCTCCACCATTCCAGCCTCCATCCTCTTGAAGTTGATGTTTTTGAAGAACGAGTGGGCCTTGACGCCTGCTGCTCCATCCGCCTTGCACCCCAGCCTCTGCTTAGGGTCTTTGGTGAGCAGCTGGGTGAAGTAGAAGCAGAGATGAATCACTCAATTGTTCATCATTCATCTCTCGCTATACAAACATCTCTCCATCAAGCCTCACCATTCTACAGATGGCCTTGGTGTCCTCTGTAAACTTGTCGTTGTACTCCTCCTCTTCGTCCTGCACCCTCCTCTCCACTTCCTCCCGTTTCACTCGCTCTTTGCGGGCGCGGAAGGGCGATCGCCCGGCGGTCATCTCGTAAATGAGGCAGCCCAGTCCCCACCAATCAGGACTCATGGCGTACTTTTCGTTATTTATCACCTCCGGAGCTGTAGACCCAAGGGAGAAACTTAATGAAACTTGCACATTTTACCCTTCTCCTTTAAAAATGTTGACTACAGTGCTTCTTACCCATGTAGCCTACTGTCCCCACTCTGCCTCTAATGAGTTCTCCATCAGGCACTTTGATAGCCAGCCCCAAGTCAGAAATGCGAATGTGTCCTGCAACACAGAGTGTTAGTGAGGTGAGGTAAGGTAGAACTGCTGATGTTATCCACATGTACCTGACAGGATCTTTGTGCACAACTAGCTGGCTGTAATTTATCATAAGATAAATGTGCAATTTAACATGCAAAATGCTGCATCGCAATATTTACGAATAAGAACTGCTGAAACTTCAAGACTCACCGTTGTCATCTAATAGGATATTCTCAGGTTTCAAATCCCTAAAGATGACACAGCATGCAAGTGTGTTAAAGCATAAAGTATCAGTTCACAACACACATTATTAAACAAAATGTTTTAAAAAACATTAACAAAGGCTTTTCTCTTCTGACTGAATTACACCTTAAAATGCATTTAAGACTGTGTGAGATTTACCTGTAGACGATCGATTCCCTGTGCAAATGCTCGAGACCGCAGCAGATTTGAGCAGCGTAAAACTGGACCCTGTCTTTGTCGAAGCCAGGCGTGCCCATGTTGTAGATGTGAAACTTCAGGTCGCCGCCGTTCATGATGGTCAGCACCAGACACAGGGCGTCTTTGGTCTCATACGCGTACGCTAAGCTCACCTGGTTGAAGACAACAGTCATGCAGAAGCCGCAAGGCATCAACGCTGCACTTTATTCCTCTTAATTTTCTACTTACGACAAATCTACTGTTGACTTTCTCTAAAATCTGCTTCTCGTTGAGAGCCATGGACTCTCCTTTCCTCTTCTTTATCCTCTTCTTCTCAAGCTTCTTGCAGGCGTACATCTTCCCCGTTGCTCGAACCTGGCAGGCACATACCTGTGGATTAAAGACACCGTGTTATCTCACATTTCACTGTGAAATGGCAATACTTTTAATGTCAACATCAAACTTTATCTCCGGGTCTCTCACCTCTCCAAATCCCCCCTTTCCCAGCACTCGGTACTGTCTGAACGTGTCCTTAGTGATTGGTTGCCTGGAAAAACACAGGCACAGCAAAACCCATTAACAGATGTTCATAGTATTGATTAAGACAGGCATTATGTGCAGAACTCAGTACCATCCTGAGTCTGTTTCCTGTATAGATGATGGAACCTCTTGTACATAATTTCACTTTCCAGACACGGATACAATCAAGGCTGCTCTGAAAGCCTGCTGTTTACTCCCAACTGCTGTTTATTTACATGCTATCTGCATAAAATATTATACTGTTTAGAATGAGGTGTAATTCTATCCAAGTCATTTCTTATCTGGAAAATTTACCTTCTTAACTTTTTAAATTATGGTTGCTGGGGCTGTCATGACATCTGACTTTCATTTCATGATTATCACAGAAAGTTCTAGATACAATATTATTGCAATATCATTGTATTCAATTCATGTCTCATTTTATTCACTGTGAAATGACTTTAAAGAAAAAAAATAACAACCCCAAAACCCAAAAGGTTGGGATTGTGTGCAAAATGTAAATAAAAACAGAATGCCACAACTTGGAATTTGGATAAAGCCATATTTTATTCACAACAGAACACAGAAAACCTATTTGATGGTTAAAATGGAGAAAAAAATGGAGCTCGTTTTCAATTTTACTGCAGCAACACGTCATTTTGCAACTAATTAGGTGATGTGGCAACAGGCCAGTAATATGATTGGGTATAAAAAGAGCATCAGTTTCTCAGTAAGTATATATAGGCAGAGGTTCGTTTTTTTTGACGATGCTGTTCCCTCATCAGACAATATTCCTCTCTAAAAAGTCCAGCAGCTGCTCTCCTCAACTCCTGAACGTTACAGGCTGTTGTTAAAAGAAGAGGGGGTGCTACACAGTGGTGAACACGGCCCTGTGCCAACTACATCAACATCAAAAGGAGCCAATAATTTTTCAGTTACATTCAGTTAGAGTTTTTCATTATTTGATATAATTTCTGTGTTCTATTGTCAATAAATTATGGATGGGATTTGCTAATAATTTAGTTTTATTTAGATTTTACACAGGATCCCAACTTTTTCCAAATGGTTGCTGCAAAAATACAAAGTCCATGAGGGGTGATGACACAGTTATTTCCCAGACTATCAAATGTCCATTACTAACATAATAGTGATATTTCGTTTGCAAATATCACAGTTATAGTCAATACAGACTTTGCATAATGCGGACTTTACTTATGTTGGGTTTTTCCTTATTTACCTGTCGCTGGAGTCTATGTTTGTCTCTTTTTAGGTTGTTTCTTTGACTCACTGAATCTTTACCACAACGTGATCTGGAGAACAGACAGTGGCTAATTTTTGTTTTAAAATTGTCAAACTCCACGCCAAAAATAATCAGACAAAAGAAGCACTGAATGAATGTGAGCTTATTTACCGTTATACACATCAACTTTTATCTCGACTTTAATTTTAACCTTGCTGTATTTATAGGGCAGTGATCTTTACTAGTCATTTTACAAATAAATGATATGTAATCCATATTATCTTGATTACTGATTATTCCCCACATTCACATCCCTGACTACAACTACTAAATTACATTTAATAAATGTCTGCATTCAGAATTTCAATGTGGTTTTTTTTCACAGATAAGAAATGGATATAAGCAAACAAAACCCAGCCAACCTCTCCAGCATCTTCCACTGTAGAAAGCGGTCAAAGTACATGCTGTTCTGGTAGTCTGCAAACGGAGCTCCACTCAGGTAGTCATGGACAGCCCTGGTGCAGCGCAAAAAAAAAAAAAAAAAAAAAAAAAAATCAGTTACCAAAACGCACGTTGTGGGATGAAAATGCAGAGACAAGGCAGAGACAAATTAGAGAGAGTCCTGCAAACAGGTGCGTGTGAATGAATGAGGAACTCACTTGCGGCAGTTGCTGAAGATCTCCTTACATGGACTCAGCTCGAGGTTCTCTCTGCACTGGTCTGCAAAAACCTCCGCTATGTCTACACGCTGAGGTGACTACATCAACACATGTAAACAGTAGCACACATACAGGAATGCGTCACTCTTTATTACACACACTACAAATTAAAGAGATAACATAAACGCCTGATCTAATTGACGATGAAGTAACAATACATTGACTTTTTAATGCGTACACTTGATTACTAAACCCATGCGGGCATCTTGGCGAACTTTAATTCTGCCGTCTGCTTGTCTGCTTACAAAGTTTTCTTTTGAAGCAAAGTGTGAAAAAAAAGAAGGCTCGAAAATTTTTAAAATGCATCAAATGAGGAAACTTACATTTTCTGATAGAAAGGCCTTGATGATCTGGCACCCTCTGCTTTTTCTTTTTTCATCAGGTGTTACCTCGTAGTCTTCCTAAACAAGAGAACAACTCAGTGTTGTTAACAAAACTCCTGTTATAGATTTGTGTTACATACTTTTATAGATGTGACAAAAGTATTAACGTGCACTTGATCGTCTGCAGTCAAGTAGTTATTTATCAGTGCCAATTTCAAACAAGGCAACTTATGTAATGAATATTTTCTAGACTATAAACAGTGGCATTTACATCACTTGATCAATTATTGGCTAATTTCAAAGTTCAGATGTAAAAGATGATGTTTAGTTTGTTGTGAAATTGTGAAACATTTCTTTAGACTTCTATAGATCTCAAATCTACAACAACAGACAGTATTTAGTAATGCAATGATTTATTGGATGGGGTGTTGTGAAACTGTCTTTCAATCTGACCTTTTATTAATTACTTCACTGACATTTGTAACAGCTTGATTGTTGACTTTCTGTAGCAGCAAACCATGACTACATGTTTTATTAACCACAAAGTCCCAGTGGACTTGGAAGACACCCACTATTCTTTTGCAGTTGTTGAATAACAGAATTTATTGGAATGAAAATAATAACTTCTCCCTTCCAGTCAAGCCAAGTCAAACCGGTTTTTTATCTCAAGCATCCCAAATCCCCAATTTACATCGACGAGATCTATAATCTGCGCAGGAGATTTGTTTAAAACAAGGAAATAAATTTCCCCTCAAACAAGTGCAGGAGGAAATGATGATAATAGAAAAACTAAACACAACTAAAGTGTTTTATAATCGTTCAACCAGAGAAAGTCAGCTGTGATAAATGACATGTTACTAAAATCCTTTTAAATTACACTGACGATGATTTAGAACTCGGACTAGAAGGCATTCAAACTGGATGCATAACTCCAATAGTGGAAAAAAAAAAAAGCCCCCCCAAAAAACCAAATGTCTCTCGAATTTTTCCTGCTTTTTTCCTTTGAAAGACGAAACAGCTGCTGTGCGGTTACAGAAACACACACCTCTCACTCTCTGTATATCTGTGTTTCCCTGTCACTCTCACATAAACATATGCTGCTCTTGGCTCCGTGTTTGCACACATGCAGCTGATGACACTAACAGGTTGGGTCGTTACGCGGCGGACACACTGGACTTCTCGCAGGGGCAGTGACATGAAAAGCTCGCTGACGCATTTGGAAGCCGGCACTTTTAACCTCTCAAAAGCGGGAGGGGGAGGGCAACATGGCATCCATGCGGCATGCTGGCATGGCTGTTTCTATTAGTGGGCTTTTTCCAACATGGCCCTGTGTTGCCTGGCAACCACACAGTAAACACGGTGGGATTCCTTGAGGTCCTGCAGTGTCACAGTGTGTCACACCAGCGTCACCAGCTTTCCACTACAACACACATCAACGTATATATGATATGCACACATGAGCTCGAAGCTTAAGGAAAAAACTGGCTTTAAAAAACCACAGCATCACAGACACTACAGAATGAAACACGAAGAAGCCAACACTGTACGTAAACATGTAAGATTATGACTAAAAGTCACAGAGAACGAGAGAGAGCGCTGTGACTGCTGCCAAGTGTTGATTAACTGAGGCTTTGTTATCAGAGGTTTCAGAGAAACACACACACAGTAAATGAGCTGTCTGACTCCCACCGCTTGCTGGAGGAGCAGGAAAAGGGGGGAGGGGGGTTCAGCCAAAGGGGAAAGAAGACGCCTCCTTGGCCTTTTGGAAGCAGAGTAGATCCAACACATACAAACACCTTCTCATGATGTAAGAGGAACCATTGGAACCACTTAAGTTGCACACACCGAAAAAACACATGCACAAACACTCCCTCCTCCTTTTGAACCGCTGTGCTCATACTTTCACACGGCTTACACGCTTAAAAAAAACCATACATAAAAGAACAACAATTACTGTAAATTGTAGACTACACTAATTACTGCACACTAGATTACACAATAACACTGTCTAGTAAACCTCATACCAGCAATGGACTGCAATGTTGTTTAATCACTTGTAATACAACCACCTGCCTGGTTGTAAACACCCTCAGACCTGAGTAATTGTCAAATGGGGTTCATAAAGCTGAGTTTGTCACATGGACTGTAGAATTAGCTCCAACACGTGTTTGGCTTGAGTGTAAGTGCTTTCCCCCTACACAGAGTGGGGGTGGCATGGAGGGGGTGATGGTCACTTTTAGGGCTGGGCGGTTAAAAGTGGGCAGAAAAGTGGAGAGACGGGGGTGCGCCGGGACTGGAAGGGGCTGGCGAGGGAAACAATGCGTCCTTTCTGCCCGTCACATGTCCGCTAAGATATTCTGGGCATAGATAGATAAAGACTTAAATGTGTCATGTGGGAGGTATTTTGTCTAGACGTGGACATGGGGGGGTAGGAGGCAAAAAGCTGGATAGATTGGGGATCTGTATGGTTGAATAATCACTACTCCATTTAATTGTGTCCTCTTGCTGTGTGACCCAGCAACACCGGCGTTTTTGCAGCCTGCCCTCTAATCAGAGTGAGTACACTAAAAAAGTTGATGAGTGTGTTTCCAGGACTGCATTTATCCAGCAATAAACACAATTTTTTTTCCTCCAGATACTCGCATCTGAGAACATGCTATCCATTACATAATTGATCACACGCAGGTTACAATAAAAGGGAACTGTACAACTTAACATTTTTAGTCTTTTATTTTAGATGAGCCTTTAATTCCATGCAAAAGAATTAAATAAAGGGTGGCGACCAGAAATAACCATTGATTTTTTGGGCTGAAAGATGAATTCAAAATTATAGGTGATTATTTACTTGTAATGACGATTTGTAAGCACAAATCGTCATTACAAGATGATATAAAGTCGAAGTGCAAACTACTTCTCTCAAAACGTCACCTATAAAGTAGATGTAATATAATGCCTTTGAAATCCTTTCATGTTTAATAGAGATCTTCTAGGAAGAGAGTGGAATCTGACATTTTCCAGCATTCCTGACCATACACAGCATGTGGACAGGGTTGCAGGCAAATAGTCAGGTACACACTGTTAGCCGCATGTCGTTAGCGTGAAAGCTCCACTTCCTGTGAGCGGTTATAAAGAGTTTGCCAAAGTAAACTGCAGGAGGACCACAACAAAATTCTAACAAACCTAAACAGAAACTTACCCAGCTGAGCTTGGACATTTTAAAGAAGCTAACAAAATAAAAATGGCTATCCAGCAATCCAGAGCTCAAAGCTAGCCACAAGCTAGCAGCCTCAGCATGAGCAAAAGATTAAAGAAGTTACTGGGAAGATTATAGAGACAAGTGAAAAAGGGAAAAAGGTCATTCTCCTGTTATTTGGTGAAGTTAAAAACACACAGAATTATATGAGCAACTGACATTGGTTTTGTTGCACCTGCTTTTGTTTGGTAAGGTAAAATATATCAGGTAAAGGTGGATGTACAATAGGGGTGGGGGGAAAAATCGATACTGTGTAGTATCGTGATATTTTGTTTGCTAATAATGTATCGATACAGGGACAGCAGAAATCGATATTTTGTTACAAAAAAAGTTTTTGTGGACTGGAACATGCTCTGACTTCAGAGCATGTTGATCCTTTTTCTGAGCAAGAATCCTGACACTGTCCAAATGTGTTTAACTTTTTTTTTGGCAGCAATAAACATGACAGTTTACTTATTTTAATTTAAGACAAGTTTTATTTTAATTAAGTTTAAAACTTTTTTATTTAATGTAAAATTATATTTTGTTTTAATTTACTTTCAAATTCTTCAGTTGCTGAAGGGGCTGCATAGTTTTCATAAATTGCATAGTTCAGAATAGCTATAATTGTACCAGATGGTTGCATTCAGTTAAGTTGGACTAGACTGTAATACAAACCATTCAGTTTGTCAACAATAAAACTGAATGAAATGAGAGAAAGACTGAGTGTGAGACTTTGATATTAGATAAAATGAATATTGATAAGGTTTACCTTTATGTACAGAATCTGAATATCGCAACATTTTTTAAAAAATTGCAATAATATCATATCGTGCGTTAAGTATTGTGATAATATCGTATCGTGGGATGTATGATGATTCCCACCTCTAATGTACAACATCTGATTTTTGTTTATTTGTACATCTGTCCAGTAGCAGAGCACTTTACTTTCAGTTGTTTCAGTTTAAGATGATGCTGCAGCTTACCGTGGATTGGGTTATATTGTAAAGTTCAATGATTTCTTCACACTTTCTTCACAATATTGCAATCCGTGCATTTGTAGTTTATGTTTCTGAAAACTTTGTTTTACCTTTACCCATGAAAAGGATGTGACTGATTAGTTTGTCAAATCTAAAATGATCTGAAATGCAGAGACACTTTTCTTATTCTACTCTAATATGAGCTTCCACAAGACTGACTTTTAAGGGCCGGAGTGGATTATTCAAATGTAATTTCATGAAATAACGTAGCACACTAACATTTCACATTATGCTGTTTATTCAGTTCTGTGCAAATTCACACTTTTGAAAAGTTTAAAACTTGCTGTTTGAGAATCCCTCTAGTAAGCACTCCACTCCTAGAAAACTCAAACACCAAAATCATTATTAACATCCTCTGTAGGTGTCATGATGCGTGCTTCTGCCTGGGAAAAAAACAACCAAACAAAACTTGGATTTAACTAGGCAAATAAGTAAGAGCCCTCCATTGGACAACTACAGTTGCCAATGTGTTTCAGCTGGCTACAGGCTGTTTAACCCTAACTGCTGTAGTGGGTAGCTTCTCATTCCTTAAACAGCCTTGTTGGAAGACATGGTATTCCATGGTCATGGTAAAGACGTTACACTGTCTCAGAAGGGCTAAATTATTGGTCTGCATCTAGCAAAAAAAAACAACTAACAACTGTAACTATTAAAACTGTTTTAATAAGTTTCATTAAAACTTGGTGAACCATCATCTCATAGAAAGAAATGTGGTCAAAAAAAAAAAAAAATCATGACAATTTTGGTGAAATAAAATGACAACAAATCAAACGCAAAAATCACAGCTATTTCTGACTGTAAAAGTAAAAGTATTTCCACTGAACTAAACAACTGTGTAGCCTAAAGAAAACCACTTATGAGTGAGGCTAAACAGACAGAAAGATCGGAGTAACGGAAAAAGGTCACACGGTCTGATGAATGATTCAATGTGATGGGCAAATCACGATGAGATGAACCCATAATGCCTAGTGCCTACCATACTACCCTGTAGGGAGCAGTGTTATGATCTGGGGAAGCACTGCTGCTACACGAGCAAGGTGCTTGTGGGTTCAAACCTGCCAACTAGCTGGAGCCTTTCTGTGTGGAGTTTATCAGTATTAATGCTTAACATTTTAAAAAAGGGTATAAAAAAATATTTCTAGGTGGGATCCTAGTGCACACTCTGTGCAGCGGTAAGATGACAAAAACAACAAAAGTACACGTCAGACTAAAATCCTGTTGCGATAAGGTTCAGTTACAATCACTGGTTGAAGGTTGGTGTGATCTGTCACAAGGAGTTGATGGTTGACTTTTCTATTCCTTAGTTTTAAAAAAAAAAAATGATATTTTTAATGCAAATATAAAAAAGGGGTCGATGTAAGTCGTGTGTGCGTGCATGTTTACCATCGCATCCAGCAGCTGGATGCATCGCTGGAGTTTCGGTCTGGTCTCGCAGAAAAGACGGAAGAGAAGTCGTCCGATAGGCTGTTTCTCGCAGATGCTGAAATATTCCCTGTCTGCAAAAGAAAAACAAACAAACAAACAAAAAAAAAACATAAAATGAACACAGACTTTAAATCGCAGCCTTTCCAACAAACAGTCAAACACACTCTCTTTAGATGAAGGAAGTGCACAAACACGTACCGATGCTGTTTCCCAGTTCAGTACACTGGCTTATATGGGGAAAACGAAGGATCTCCTTCCATTTTTTGCTCCTTCCTTTCCTTTTCCCTCCTCCACCTGTGGTGACAGGTAAAACAAGAGGTAAAAATGTTCAACTGAAAGAAATTAATAAAGTTGTCCACATTTATTTTCGTCAGTGAGGAGAAAATGAAGGCCCAATGGCTAAAAGAGAGGGGGGTTGTGTGTGGGCTCTCCCCTGAATGAAATCATAGTCTCAGTGTGTATATATAATTCATAGATTACGTCTCACTTCCTCCGTAACGCTCTCCTCTCTCCACTGACTTTCTTGCTCACTTTTCATGTGAGTGGCTTCACTGGAAGTGGAACAGTGTGTGTGTGTGTTTAATATGAGTGTGTGTGTTTTTGTGTCCACACAGACAGAAAGCCCATTCTGACCGGCTCAGTTCCCATCAGAACCCAGACTGGATTCCACTGCACTGAATAATCATGCATCAGCTTCCTGCAGCTACGTAACACCATCACGAACAAAAACCACTTAGATCTACATCGCCTACTTAGATTTCTGAAGAAATTTTACTGTGCAGTCATCGACGGAGCTGATTATTTTGCCTCTTAACTTTGACCGCTTTCCCATTATTCATCAAAGCCATGTCTAAATCACCTTTGGCGTTTTCTCACAGTATCCACCAGATGCGATTAAACGCAACTTTTAACCTCGTACTTCTACCACAGCCTGCTTTGCCCTTACACCATGTTCGTCTCAAAGTTATTTTTTTTAATATGTTACGACTGCTCTAATGAAATGACAGGGATTTCCTTTAACCGCTCTGTGCAGTGGAAATTTGCTGCAAGCAGCTCACCCAATGTGAGAGGCATTGAGAGCAATGACAAGCAGACATCTTTAAGTAATAACCCAGGAATGCGAGAGGCCCTACGTCATTGTGGAGGCTCTGAGTGAAAGCTTTTAGCAGTTTTCCCATCAATCCTGCTGCATTACTGTCTCATCCTTTCCTCCTGCTCTGCAGTCTGTTTTGCGTCTCACTGTTGCCTTTGTAATATTATATAATTTACTTGCCAAGAAAATTAAATTGCACTCAACAAGGGGAAGATTAGTCTCAAATTAGCATGTTTTGGTGTGATATTAGACCATAGCTGGGAAACTTTCTTCCCCAGAAAGCCATAAACTGACTAAGATAAAGTAAGCCAACGGTCAAACAAGTGAACCATAGCAGACTTAGTGCTGACTGCTGAATTACGTTACACATGAATGTTGGTATAGACAGAACATGCATACATACATACATCACTGACTAAGGAAATGTTTACTCTATATTTACTATATGTAATATTTAATCTAACAGCAAATACATTATCTTATACATGAATACATTCATTCATGTTTTTGTCACTCTCTCTGCAAGATCATAAAAGTGTGCTACAATGTCTGATACTGAAATATCGTGCACCCAGAATGGATGTTCTGCTCTATATTAGTGCGCAAAAGTCTTAATCCACGCCTCAGTTCTTTTCCATTTTGCTGGGAAAACAGGAAATAGATGCAGTCATCTGCTGAAACATTTGCAAATATATATGGAAACACAGCATATAATTACTGTACCATTCTTCTTTCCCTTAAGATGGATCAACTGAGGGACAACATACATCTCTCGGGTCCTGTATGAGGTCTACTCAAATTTTTCACATGACTTTCAGATACTCTCCACGTAGGCCTGCTACTTTTCCCCCCTCCGCTTGTCTGGTTTCCTCAGGTTTTTAAGGACACTCTGCACAACATGCTGAGATATGACGTTTTGAGCTCATAGGTTTTTGGGAACCACTTTGTTGGTGGAAAAATTTATGCCTGTCAGACTGTGTAACCTTTCATAACTTTTAACTATTTTTTGTTGTGAAGCTCTTTGTGACATTTATCTTAAAATGTGCTCTATGAATATTTAAAAAACAAAACAAAAACGTATTTACTTAATTTACTTACTTTTCACATATTGAACTAAAGAAATGGGAACAAATTATATGTTTTTGTGACAGGCTGCTGATAACAAAGAGTCTAAAGACTCAATTCCAGATTTGTTCTTTGCTAAATTGTCTGTTGTGTGTATGGACAACAGGTACAATTTTACAGCATGAATGATTCATAGGTCAGTGTTAAGTGGCTTAAGAAAAATGATCAGGCTCAAAGACTGGACTAAAAATGATTAACAAAGCAGCCCATGTTGAAAGAAACACTTTGAAAGACCTTCAGAAAGCCTGGAGAACTATTGCTTAAGACCAGTTTCCAGTTTTTAAAAAATGACAACAAAATATGAAGAAATGAGGGGTGGCTCAAGACTTTTGCATGGTACGGGTTATTTTGCCCACATAGTACAAAAGCCTCATTTTACACACTTATGCTTATTATTCACTTACCAAGTATGACCCTCGTGTGTCATACTTTCAGGATTACATTGCAACAGCCAGCCATAACCATACATTATACAGGCACAAAGGGATTTAATTAGAGATCATTTCCATCATTACAAGCTGACATAACATTTTTGAACAGATGATTTCACAGCAAAGTATACAAAAGTATTTCAATCCACTTCTTACATATTTGAGTCATAAAAAGTTTTACAGGGTTGTACTGACTCTTATTAGAACTGCAGTATTTTTCTTTTTAGGAGGAGGGGTGTTAAAGATAAGGGACCCTACGTCAGCAAAGCTCACATACGGTATTCAGAATGATACTCGTATCACCAAAGACAAACACGAAGCATGAATGTATTAATAACCCGAATAAAAATATCCCCAAAGACAATCATTAACTTCGAGCACCTGCGCCTCATTAACATTACTGTAGACGAAACTATGCTATAAACAGGCGCACTTCCTTATTTGATCGCTTCTGTAAACAGCTCATATGTAAACTTATGCTCCCCACACAAAAATACAGTGTGTTGCTGTGTGCTCCAGTTTTTGAATCTCCTTTAATGAAAACATGACATCTGCCAAAAAGGCAAAAGAATACAGCGAATGAAGAAGGTCATTCCCCATGGGAGGGACGCCATGCTAAAAATGTATGCACGTGTGCTAGTGTGAGGCATTTGTGGATACAAGCGTCCAGCCAAATGGCATAAATTTCCTGTGAAGGGTCAACGCCATGTCAAATAATTGTACCAAACATGGGTGCTCCACCCAGGCATTCAACTTCTACACAATGCTGAGACAACCACAAATAATGCAGTTCCTTCTTTTTCTTTCTGTGTCCTGTTTTCTTTGCCTCTCATTGCTCTCCAAGCCTATTTATTTTTCATTCTTTCTCCCTCCCCGCCTCCCCCCTTTCCTGCTTTTTGGAACTCCTGGCATCATCTTCTGCTCTTCTGCTGTTTCCCTGTGATCCAGTATCTTTTTCCCTTTTCTTCTGACACACTGCTGAAGATTTCCTGTCATCACCACATCACTGTCACCAAGTTTGCTGCCAGCCAATCACTGACCTCATTTGCTGTTTCAAGTCTATCAACCCCCTTTTGTTTTAGGACTTTTTTTTAAGGACGTCTACAGCTCCTTGGCCATAAAAATAGAACAGTGCTATAGATTAGTGGTTTGCCTCCTTTTTGGGCTTTTCTACGTGTGGTCTCTTGTCACGCTGTTCATGTTATTTTTATAACCCCTCGATTTCTCTCATTCATCACTGCAAATAAAGCTGCTCGAAAGCATATTTATAATTCGTCCCACTGTAACATTCGAGGCCCATGTGGTGCAAAGACCAGAACACAGAGCACACCCAAACACTCCCACAAACATGCAAATACAACGAATCAATTATTCCTCATCTGAATGTAACAACAAATAAAGTTCTGTTTAGCCTTAGTGCCCTTTGGCTTCTTTTGTCTGTGGGCTCAAGAAAGCACAGCCTAACAGAGGTTAAAAAAATTGTCTGACACGTTGCTGTTACACGGCTTTACGAAATGTTCTGGCAGGATTTGAGGAAAGTTTACAACAGTATTAGATATACAAAGATGAAAGCAAGTGCTAACTTTTTGAAATCATGTTTTGAAGAAGAGAAAAACATTCACATGTTTCGTTTTACGTCCAGATTTGTAACTCTAGGTTCCTGTTTAACAAAACTTGGCTCTTAAAAGTATGAATATCCTCGTAAATATCCTCCATAAACCATCTTGTTCACGGCTGTCTGTTTATTTCTTTCGCTATTAAAGCGTTCTCACTCTTATGTGGTCTGTCAGTTACACACGAGCTGAAATATGTGCTGTGGCGTGGATTTGCTGCACACAGGAACTTGTCCGTCTAATTTGTTCCATGTGGGCAGTGTGGTCGCCACCCTTTATTTATGCTCATGTTTAGGAGCTCTGACATCATCAAGGCATGTCAAGTAAAGCAAAAAGAAGGTCAGAGACAAAACGTCAACCGTCTGGCGTAACACCAGGGGGTTACCCGAACCCCAAACATCTGTGTGTGTGTGTGTGTGTGCACGCACAATGTCACTACTGTGACCTCTCTCTAGTGTTGTCCTCATGCTCAATTTAATCAACTCGTGGCAATCCTGCAGGCCCCATCCATCCACACCTTCGAAAACAACCCTGCTTAGATTTGAGGTTATACGCACAAAGTGCTGACACTCAAAAGAACCCAAGCCATTAACATCTAGTGCCTGACACACACACACACACGTGCACACACATAATCTCCGAGGTCTCGAACACCTCCACTTACAATCTCACTCCAAACATGAAGCTAGATGTGCTGTGGACAACCAGCTGAAACCACATCCTGACTGTCACACTGTGCATCTGGCATATATGCAATAACATCTGCAACAGAATGTGATGTTAAGAGCACGAGCGTGAGCAGAGCCGAGCGTTCTGAATATGTGCTATTTTCTACACCTACACTGTGTAAAAAAGTGTGCAAGATTTGAGTAGGTTTCAGTGACTCTTCACTCTCATCTCCTGGCTGCACTGACCCTCTTTGTTCACAAACAACTCACTATCCCTTTCTGATTATCTAACTCTCGCTTATTCCCACATCACCTCCTTTGTCTGATCTGTTAAATGTCGGCCTCGCGGTTGAGTCATACTGTG